TAATATTATATTTATTATTATTATTATTATTTTTTAGTGGCTTTACCCTTAGAGATAGGATACGGAATGAGCATATTCGTGAAAAGGTTGGAGTAGCTCCAGTAGAAGATAAGATTAGAGAGAGTCGCCTTAGATGGTTTGGTCACATAAAACGGCGGCCTTCCGATGACCCGGTTAGGAGAGTAGAGGTACCTAAAAAGACTTGGTTAGAAAATATTAGGAATAACCTTTCTTTATTAGATTTAAACGAGAATTTGACTTTTAATAGGACACAATGGAGAAAAAGGATTCATGTAGCCGACCCCACGTAGTGGGATAAAGGCTTGATGTTGTTGTTGTTGTTGTATGTTCACAAGCTAATTTTGAAGAAACAACACAATGAGCTTGCTCAATCTTAAGCTCATTTACACCCCTAATGTCATACACACACATACCCAAATTCAGGTGGGCCCAATTTTTTGCTAGTGAATAAATGGAGTGACAAAACTGATAACCAACAATTTTTTTTAACTAGATCCATGGTTAATAAATAACAAAGTTGATAAAGCTTATGACACAAGGAACTGCATTAATAAATAAATAAAAACATGTTTTTTTCTTGATTTGTACACCAATGTCACAGCTACCCTACACAACAAGATATAAAATCATTTGACGCATAGAGATTGTATGTGCAGTTTGAGAAGCATTGTCCTTGTCATGGGTTCAGTTATTAGCACATCATAATCAAAGGGGATCCTCATCATAAAAATTCTCTATGAAATTCCAAAACAAATTACTTGTATCTTTTTCTTGATAATGGGCATGTCCAAGAAAAATCATAATAGAAGAGAATACTATTAAAATCTAGATCCCAAAAGACAAATATATATACCCTAAAAAACAAATATATATGAACAAAAAAAATTTAAGCAATAATGATTTCTTCATGCTTAGAGAGACCAAATTTATGTCATTTCCATCAATTTGTCAAAAATGAGAAACTTAAGTTTGACTACAGCTTGCAAATGGCTAATAATATAATAAGTATATTGAAACAATCATACTAAAAATCTCTTATCAGCAAGGACGTGCATGCGCCCTTCAACTAAATGGTTGATCTAATGGCATTATATTACGGTGATAATCTAACTCATATTTTTTCTAATGGTTAAGGCTGTAAGTTGTGAGCCTTAAGATGCACTTAATAATACATGAAGCCTTTTATTAACTAAGATTAACTTAAATTTGCCCCTTTAGCAAACTGTCACCCCAAGATTATGAGATCCTTTTGAACGATGCAACTCATGACTGTCGACAAGTATCCCTTAAATGAGATTGGGTCAACTATATCAATTAGCCAAGATTAAACTATGGGATTTTTATTTTGTTAGTCATTATTTCTCTTATCATTTGCATTGAGCAAACGATGGTACATTTTTCTCCTAAAATTAAATTACTACTACTAAAAGATAAATGTCCTAGTCTATCAATTAGTTTTAATCCAAAATTTCTTTCATAATCAAGATAGGTAATTAATTAGAAGTTTGCATTTATTGGAAACCTTCAAATATGATTATGAAGCCCTCGAGTAAAATATTTGAAACATTCTTTATCTGATATGGGTGGAAATTTTTGGAGCCCATGGTTGCTTATACTAGTTCCATTATTAGGATTGCCAATCATTCTAATTGTAAAATTATTCTTAATCCCTTCCTTAGACAACTTCTATGATTCATCTTTATCAGAATTATACTTTATTGCACCATTTATTTATCATATACTTGTACAATAACAATAAAAAGCCATTATCCCACTACATGGGATTGGCTATATGCATACTTTTTTCTCCATCGTGTCATATTAAGAGTCAAAGTCTTATTTAAATCTAACTAAAAAAGTTGTTTTTAATACTTTTTAACTAAATCATTTTAGGTCTATCTCTTTCGTTCTAAACATAGGTTAGATCTAATTTATCTACTCTCATAACTAGATCATTAAAAAGTATATTGATCATATAAATATGTTTCATACAAATTATAGTTATGAAATTGTCATACATAATAAAAGTATGAAAGCTACACTGATTGCTAAACAAAATGCTTGGGTTTACTCTGGATAATACTACATCTTTCTTCATACATGTCTTGCAATCTCTCTACACCCTACTAACATGATAATACCTAACTAAACTTATATACGTACAAGCTCTTTCTACTCAACTAAGATTTCGTATGTATGTACCTTTTTCCCTTATTGACATATAAATTAGTCCTACATTAATGCTCCCCCCATCAAAACATGCATGTTTATGTTCCCTGGAAGTTTATACTCTTTCGAAATAAACACAAGTCAAATGCACATATTTCCTCATTCTGGTTAAACCATTGATGGTTCTTCTAGGAAATAACAATCTTGAGTTCATTAAAGCTACTACATATCATTTGGGGACCCATAATTGATGAGTTATGTTGCTTAAAGAATTGATATGCCAATTTTGAATTTTTTTTTGTCATTGTTATTTTTAGTACATTATTCATTTAGACCTCACCGATTTTATTATTCTAATTTTTTTAGAAACTAAAATATCATAGAGATAATAAGAGTAATATATATTATATAAGTTTTCAACGTAGGTAATTCAGGCATTTATAATAAAGGGAAAGAAATGAACCAATATGATATATAAATAAAACAAATGTGAGAGAACTAAAAAAATTTTAGTATACGAATATAAATTGTGCTGAAAGATTTTAACAAAATAGGTATGTTAAGATGATAAATCCAGCAACAAAAAAATGGATCAAGGCAAACGATTAAGATAATTATTAGTATGTTTGTTTTATTTAGATGTGGAAGGCCTTGATTAAGTTTGATAATTATGTTAAGATGAATAAAGTTTTCTTTGCCTTGTATGTAATGTCCATGATGAAGTGTCCGGCTTGAAGTCCATCGAGGATTTTATGTTCTTTTTATGGTGTGAGATTACTTCTTCTTAGACGTCTCTTATTTTTCATATTAATACTTTCTATAATCTATTTCCATCTTTCTTCTTGTTATCTATCTTATTATGCATGCTTTGTCCATAAAAGGCTGCAAAATCTTAATCCATAAATCCTTTAACACTCCTATCCTGCATATATATGCCTTGTCGGTAAATAAGGAAGCCTCAATTAACTATAGATTTTATTTTCTCTCTACTAAAATCAACGGAAAGACAAGTAAAAAAATAGAAAATATATGGAAATGAAGAAAAAAATACCTTACAGCTTGCTCGGTGAAGCATTTGTAAGGCTGCTTTTGCCGTAGAGAGTGGAGATTACCTCCACTGCAATACTCCATCACTAAGCAGTAGAATTTGTCTGTCTCAAAGTGCGAGTAAAGCGTTGGCAGAAAGGGATGATCAAGAAGGCTAAGGATCTCTCTTTCGGTCTGTGCTCGGATCATCTTATTTCTACTAATAATGGAAGCCCTGTCCATAACTTTCATTGCAAAATATGCATCAGTATCTTTAAGATGAACAAGATAAACACTGCCTATGTCACCATAACCTAAGCGCTTGAGTAATTTGAAGTTACCAAGGCCAAGTGGTAGATCTCTAGAACTTGCAAGATGGATTGCCTCCCAACGGCTATCATGACCTGTGTGTCGCTTGACTTGAGATGTCATGGAAGAGTAACCATCCAAATTGTCTCTCTGTGAGCTACTACAACTGCGTTGACTAGTACTGTTTCCACCATCACTGGTTCTTTTGTCAATTGGTTTCAGACATGATATTGTTGTTATTGTAGAGCTTGATATCTTTGAACTAACACTAGAGCAAGGGCTCGGGTTCAAACTTAAGCTTGAACTCAAATCTTTTATTGAATTTACTTCATCTCTGTTAGCAGAATCTATTATTTTCTTTGCATCTGATTCCTTTCCATTTATGGGTTCATAAGTTTTAGCAGGTTTAAATTTAGAGCATGAACAAGAAACCAGGCTATTACTTGAACGTGAACGATTTGCTAAATTTGAACCATCTTTAGTAAAAATATGCAATTTTTTCTTGATGCTCAAACCTTTTCCAGATAATATTTCTAAATTTATGTTGGGTTTATTGCTTGGATGGGGACTAGGGCACAGGGTTTTTGTTGAAAATAAGCTGTTTGATGAACTTATGAGGTCCTCAAATAAGTTCTTTGAAGAGTTGGTAGCAATGTCTATTATACTGTTAGTTGCTTCCTTCAAATTCATATTTCCAGAGATTGCTTCAATACTTGTAAGATGTTCAAAACTTGGGCCAGACTTTTTCAAGCCAGGTCCAGATATAAGGACTGGATTACCTATCTCAAGCTCAGTGAGAGTGAACTGAGCCTTTTTCTTGATCTTGGAGGATCTTTTCTTTTTTGAAATAGAATCCATCTGAAAAAATCATAAATACTTTTTAGTACATTAAATCAATATCATGCAAACAAGTTTGATTTGAGGAACTAATTACTTGAAAAATTAACTAGTGTGATCTATAATTTTCTGTCATCAAGGCATCATTAATTCCCTATAAATAGTGATTAGAGGAAATTTATGAACATCATATATCTTTACATGCAAGTAAAATGCCACTTTACAAGGATAAGGATATTTAATGAATGAATATCTGAAGATTGTATTCCATGTCATCCACATGGGTCTTGCAATCATAACTATGAGCTTGTTGTATTAAAGTTTATCTGTGGGTGACATGTGACCTCACTAGTAGCCAAGCTCAAGAGAATATCATCTGAGAGCCTTTGTGAGAATGAAAAGTGAAGGTAAAAAATTATGAAAAAGATTTTACTAGCTCAAGTATCTCTTTGGAAAATGCAAAAAGATCTAGAATGTTTATATTTACCCTTTATAGAAATCCAAGGGCTACAAGAAATACAATATAAAAAAAGAGTAAAAATACAAGAATTAATGACCCTTAGTACGAACTGCCTTGGACATGTGTCATACTCTAGCTATCCTGGTGAATGGTTGCATCTCTTATTTTGACCCCTTTGTTTAGAGGTGAGTTCCCTTGTATGTGTTGAGTGCATGTCGATAAAAAGATGTGAGCGAGCTCTTTAGTGAGGGCTAAACTAAGAGTGTTGTGGTTGATGATTACTCTAAAATCATTGGCAGCCTTTCTTGTGGAGCTCTAGATTGCTTTCCTGCAAGTTTTTACGTCTAGGGGCTTTAGCTTCTCTAGAGAGAATAGTCTAAATCATCCTTGAACTTGGGTAGGGATAAGAATTCAACATGTTTCCAGCTTAGTAAGTCAACCTATAATTTTGCAAGGCTGAGTTGCTCAGGCTAGAGGATTTTATTCAAATTAATTTATACACACCGAGGGTTATGAATTGAAAAGTCCACAACTTGGCAAGTGACAGATTTCTTATTAATTCTTAGTCACTCAACTCACACACACAATTTCTAGAGCATTTTGATCAAGCATTTACTCTTGATGAGCAAGTTCATTACTTATGCCCAGGGAAACATGCAAGATCCTTGAACATTATTCTTATTTGAGATTCATAAATTACCTACCTTTATTATGCTTTATATTAAAATTTTGAACTAACTGGTTTTGTTGATATGGCTTTATTGGTAGCTTCAAAATTATGAATTTTTATTGATTATTTAGTTGGTACGATTTAACCAATATCATTTTGATTTGATACATATCAAATTTTCATATGTTTTAATTTGAGTTCTCTACTTCGAATATTTCTTTTCTTATCATAAAGTTTTAAGAGGAAGAAAAAAATATGACAATTTATTTCTGATAGGTATCAAATTTTTTTAATGTTTTATTGATTGGGTTTCAGAAGGTGTGGCAATTGTTTTCCTTGCTCAGATATATATTTATGTAGTGGTGTTGAAATAAGAAAGACTATATAAAACAAAGTTTCCCATAAAAAAGAAAAAAAATATAAAAATTATATAATATTTATGCTTAAATGAGATGTATAATTAAATTACATGATGATTCTCAGGAATATATATCACTCATTCCGTGGGGTTGGTTCTTCTACTCATTTCCATCATGGACAATAACATGTCATTTTTCCTTTACATTAGTGATATAAAAAGATTTCAACTGTGTATGCAATGCCTTGGGTTTTTTCTGCCCTCGTCTGCCACTTCGGTTGGGTAACCTTTCTTCCCTAAGTTTCTTTATTGGTTTCCTTCCTATGGTTGTGAATAGGTTAAAGGATTCTGAGTTTTTGGATGGGAAGGTTAAATCTAAGTCTTTTAGAGATGTTTTATCCAGTGAGTCGGCTTTACTGAATTTTGGTTGTGCCAGATGTGGAGATGCAGTGGGTTGGTGTGGTAGCAAAAGAAACATAAATTTATTCTACATCAGCTCATGGCGTGATTTTGCCTATTTTTTTAGAGGGACTGGATTTATCGTCTCTTGTTGGGAATGCTGGTGTTGTGGATTTGCCTTTGGTTGATGGGCCTACGGAATCCCTTGCCGATGTGCCTTTAGTTGTTATGCCTCCTAAAGATTTGCTTGCTCAATTTGTTTCTTCTTTAGTCGTTACTTGTTCCAGGCTTTTGGGTCAGGATGCTATATCTCCTTCACCATCAATGTGGATAGTGATAATTTTGGTGATGATCAAGTTGAGTCTCTTCAGGAATTATACGGTTTAAGATTTGTTAGGTGGATGATAAAGCTCTCTCGCGTGTCAGTATACATTAGAGGAGAAAATCTAAGAAGTAATTTTTCTTTTGTTGTTGTGGTTGTGGCTTATTTTTTGCTTAGCAAGTGGCATTTGCTATTGGTTGTGTTTTTGGGAGCTGGGGGTTTGTCTTGTGTATGGCTGTTTGGTTTGATTTTGGGCTTGAGTTGTTCCGTTCGACCCTTCTGCTATTTGTGGGGGAGGTTTTTTCTCTCCTAGTTTCGGTTTCTTTCTTTTCTTGTTTTGTGCAGGTTGTTTCTACCTTCTGGACTTCGTTCCGGGCAACTTGGGTGCTTTTAATGGAAGGTTGCTAGCGAGCTTTTGTTTTTGATGTGTTGGAGTTTTCTACTGCTTCCTTGTTGTTGACTTTTCTTTTAATTTGTATTTATATCTTATGTAGTTAGTTGAATCTAAAGCTCATATGTTTTTATTAAAATGATGTCCTTTTAGTGAGCTTATGATTTTTTCAGTCTTATAATTTTTATTATTATTAATGCGTAGGCCTCAATGTGAGTTTTATCAAAAAATAAAAAAAATGTCAACTCTCTACCTCTAGCCCTCTTCCACATAAATTGTCTACCTGCTTGGGAGACAACAATTGAGAAATCGGACATAGGTTTTGAAAATGAAGATATGATCCAAATCCATGGATGGAATCAAGAGGCATGAAATATTCATGGGGTTGAAAAATGATAGGGAAGAAGAGGATGATGCGAGGAGAGAGAATGCAGAGAATAGCTAAAAGAAGGGAAAAGCCAAAAATTCAAAAATAAGGCGTAGAAAAACGAAACTCACAAGATGAATGATATATATATTGTTGAGAATCATCATGTAATTTCATTAATTATACACCTCATTTAAAAATAAATTTTATATAATTTTTATAATTTACTTTTGTTTTAAGAAAAATTTTGCTTTATATGATCTTCTTGACAAATCAAAATTACATAAATATAGATCTGAATAAGGACGACATTAATAAAAAATAAATAATAATAAAAGGACGACATTTACAACCCCTTCAGAAACCAATTCTATGAAAAAAAAAAAAAAAAAAATCAATCCCTATCTATAATAAATTGATTTTTTTTCTTCTTCTAAAAGCATTATGTCAAGAAAAGAAATATTCAAAGCAGATAAATTAAATCAAAGCATATGAAAATTTGATATATAATAAATCAAAATAAAAATGATCAAATCCTACCAATGAAAACATCAATAGAAATTCACAATTTTGAAGCTAACAAAAAACTACTTTAAGAAAAAAAATCAATACGTCCGTAGTTTTAATAGAAAACAAAACAAAGATAGGCGATTTACAAAATTGGATTTGAGAATAACTGTACAAAGGGAATTTTTACTATTATCAAATTCTACCAACTAAATCATCAATAAAAATTCACAATTTTCAAGCTGTCCAGAAAATCATATCAACAAAATGAATTTGTTCACAATTTTAATTGAAAAAAATATATTCTTTATTTGTGCTTCTTGAATCGTTCTATCTTTAATGCTGAAGGTGTATGCGATGAGAATTTTTCATGTTCATATTTTATGATAGTTTTTCTTTAAATGGTCTTCTTTGTTAACCATCTTTACATAATAAAAGATCTGAATAAGGAAGATAGCTGAAACACTTTCAAAAACCCATTCAATGAAAAAAAAAAAAAAATCAATTCCTATGAAGAATAAATAGATTGACATATTTTTTCTTCTTCTTCAAACATTATGGCAAGAAAAGAAATTATATGCAAAACAGATAAATCAAATTAAAGAATATGAAAATTTGATACGTAATAAATCAAAATAATAATGATGAAGCTGGCCAGAAAATCATATCAACAAAACCAATTCCTTCACAAATTTAATGGAAAACAAAACAAAACAAATGTAGACGATGTACGAACCAGATCTGCGAATGGCTGTACGAGGAGAATTTCTACAAGGTATCGAGTTCTTTCAAGTTCGATGTCATATGAAAATAAAAGGATGTCAACTCTTCCATATAAATTGTGCGCAGCGATCCGCTTAGGAGATAAGAATTCAGAAATCGATTATAGGATTTGGAAATTGAGGAGAATGAAATATTCGTGGGGCAGGGAGATGAAAGCACAGAGGAGAATGAGGAGAGGAGAGAAAAGGTAGAGAATGACTAAAAAAAGATGAGGAAAGCTAGAAAATCTATAGAAAATGGCTAAATTTAGTTAAGAGGAAACGACGTGTTATTGTCCAAAATGGAAATGAACAGAAGGACGAAACCTGTAGGTTGAGTAATATATATTCCCAAGAATCATCATATAATTTTGTTATTGATATATCCTCAAAAAATTATCTTGGTCGAGCACGAATCTCGAGGCAAAATCGAATCAGAAACTTCAGAAATTAAATTCGGGAGCACCCGAACTCTGATTTCAGAGAGCTTATAGTCAAACTGAGCATCTCGGAAATACAAACCCAATGACACCAAATTCAACTCAATCCGACCCCAAATGAGCCCAAATCAAGCGCCCGAAGTGCTGTTGGAAAGGTCGTATCACAATTTGAGCTACCAAACGGTCTCCGATTTTAACGAGCTTATAGTCGAATTGAACGGCTCGACGAGACGAATCCAACGAGCCCAAGATCGCCAAATTCCGACATCACTAAGGCCTTCAAATGTCTAACGAGCGGTGCACGGTCGAAGTATTCAATATCAGCCGTCCATTCGGCCACTCCCTATTTGCTCCTAATCTCACACCTATTTACGAGCTATGCCATTCCAGAAAAACTATAAATAGACCCCTCATTCCTCATAAGAGGGGACCCAAGCAAGAAGAAGAGAAGAGAAGGAGAGGAGAGAATAGCTCTTCCTTGACCACCACTGGAGTTCTTCCCGTCTTCAGAACGACGCCAGAATCCTGCCGGACGCCCGAGTGACGTCGGAACTCTGCTTGACTTTGTAACTGAATTTCAATACAGAAGAAACTCATTATAATCTGATCATCCTAACTTGTTGGACGAATCAGGCTCTTGTATCTCAAACTACACTAATGGAACTTTTCACTGGGCATGGCCCCGTATTTTTTTCCTTTTTTTTGGGTTTTCCACGTAAAAACCCTGGTGTTCTTTTATCTTCTGTTTGTGTGTGCTAGATCTTCGCACAACGGCCAGACAAAAAATTTCTAACTCTACCGCCGTATATATTCTAGTCCGCAACAGTTTGGTGCCGTCTGTGGGAAACATTACCCCACAACTTCAATTATTGCTACAATGGTCGACAGACGTAACAGTCATATTGTTGAGGCTTCCCGCTCCAACTCCCACCACTCTAGAAATCAATTTATGAATCATAGACGCTCGATGTCTGCCTCTTTTCATCATGGGGGGCAAAATGTTGCCGGAGAAGGAACCTCGGGACCTTTAGAAGAGAGAATCCAAAAAATGGAAGAATCTCAGAATGAGATCCTTCAACTCCTACGAGAGAATCGACAACCCGCAATACCACAACGGGAGGAAGTTCTTCTCCCTCAAGCTCCACCACTGGCCGAAGATATTCAACTCGAACATCTTCAAGCAGAGATACATCTTCCTCCCCCAAGAAGACGTCCGCAGTCACGACAGGATAATGAAGTTGATGATACAACAAGTTCTACACATCCTTCGCCCTCAACTCGGCAACATCACGTTCTTCCAGATCTCATAGAAGGCTCAGCCCAACCACACATTGTTGAGCTCCCTCACAATGCTTTACGTCATGAACTGCGAAGATTGGTACGGGAAGAGTTTCCCCGAGGGGATGTGAGACAGACTCTCTGATAGAGGGACTTCTAGGAGTCATCACCTCTAACTGAAGTCATTCTTCAGCATCCCATTCTAGTCGGATTCAAAGTACCCAGCATCGAGTCTTACGACGGGACGTCTGACCCGTATGAGTATATCGACTACTATAGAACCATCATGCATATTCAGTGAGCATCAGATTCACTCCTTTTTCAGGTCTTTCCTGTCACCCTTAAGGGATAGGCTCGTACATGGTTCTATTCGCTTCCATCTGGAATAATTCCTTCTTTCGTTAATTAGCCAAAATCTTCGTTGAACAATTCGTAGTCAATCGAAGAATAGCTAAATATTCCTCCCACCTCTCCGGAATCCACCAAAATGAGGGAGAATCGTTGAAGGATTATTTTCAGCGATTTTCCACTAAAGATCGACAAATTCCAGGAGTGGATCTCGAATTACTAAGAGGGGTCTTTCCTAGAGGCCGTCGTCCTGGCCCCTTCTATTCGGCCCTCATGCGAGACACTGTTCATTCGTATGCCGATCTGATCCATCGCGTGGAGGCGTAAATCTCTGTAGATGAGGTCATAAATACTCATTGAAAGTAGTTTGAGCAAACTAACGGGAAGCACAAGGGTGCACCTGAGGCAGATAATTCGTCCACACAATGAAAGAAGTAAGGGAAGAATAATCTACCTCCTAGGACTTCATTGCCATGACGAGAACCTCGACAGGAGGAGTACACTCCACTCAATACATCTCGAGCAAATGTATTAATGGTTGTCTGAGATCAAGATACAGTGAAATGACTGCATCCTTTGAAGCCGAACATAGGAAATCAAGATCAGCACTGCCACTTTCATCGTAGTCGTGGCCACACTACCGAAGCCTGTAGACAACTCAAGGAGGAGATTGAAAGACTTATCCGTCAAGGCTATCTTCGGCAGTTTATTCGGGATTCACCTATAAGAGAGGAAACTCGTCCTGCTGGGGGAAAAAATCAACAATAGAGACCACCGGCAAATAACCAAATAGCAGTTGGAGAAATTGAGACGATTGCTGGAGGCCCTCTATTATCTGATCAAATCTTTTTGACTGTAAATGAAAATCCAACTCCAAAGAGGGCTCATATAGATCACTCTATCACCTTTGACGATTATGATCTGGAGGGAGTAAAAACCCCTTATCAAGATCCGCTTGCTATCAATGTAGGCATATGTGACCCATGTTACAATGTCAAAAGAATTCTTGTGGACAACAGAAGCTCCGTAGATGTCCTATTCTACTCCACTTTTCTCAACATGGGTCTCTCAAGAGAAAAGCTTCAACCCGCTGTAGGTCCTTTGTATGGATTTGATAATAGACTTGTACGAGCAGAAGGGATAATCAGTCTCCCAATTGTACTTGGAGAATTTTCCTAGCAGTCTACACACTCTATTCAGTTCATCATTGTAAAGTCTGAATCAGCTTACAACGCTATCTTTGGGAGGTCGCTTCAGTTAGTTTTTGGAATTGTTGCTTCTATCCCTCACCTTAAGCTAAAGTTCCATACCCCGACAGGAGTTAGTGTGGTATGCAGAGGTCAACAAATAACACAAACCTGCTATCTCAAGCAGGTCAAGTTACGTCCAACAGTTACTCTGAGCATCGAGGATTTTGATCTCCGGAATGAGGATATCCCTCAGAGAGCTTCCCCTGTAGAAGACCTTATTACTATATATATCTCTGAAGAACATCCTTTAAAGACGGTGCAGATTGGGTTACTTCTCTCAAACGACGAGAAAAAAAATTCACATATTTTCTACGAGAAAATCAGGATATTTTTGCGTGGAGTATGGTAGATATGCTTGGAATTGACCCCGAAGTGATTGTACACTCCCTCAAAATTAATCCGACATGCAAACCAATCATCCAAAAGAAACGAAATTTTTCACCTGATCGTCAGCAAGTGATCGAAAAAGAAGTGGATAAACTCTTGGATGCCGGGTTTATACGAGAGGTACATTATCC